TATATAATATACTCTCAGTGAACCATAGCAAGTAGGTACTTGGTCAGATTGTGAGATGTCAAGCAACCACAGCGAGGCAGGTCAGACATTGGTAGATATTCAACTGCTCCAGATCATTCGATGAGTGTGAGAACGGCGCCGGCGTCGCAAATTACCCATTTAAGCCAATAAATCAGTATGGCGCTGTGGGAGTCTTCGCTCATAGACGGAGGGCCACCGACCGACGCGACACGCGGTCGCGCTCCTGTCACTCCACTGCACAGTTGCACACACTGCAGTCTGCAGCACACCACAGGTATGACACAGCAGTAGAGGAGTATCGTGTATAATATCTACAATGTGTTATAGAAACGCTGCTAGAATTTTTTTTTTTATATGACGTTGCCCCACACTGGATGTTCTCCTGTGTCGTGGATGTGTTTTGTAAACGCACATTGTTTGTACATACATGGTCACACATACGTGATACCCAGACCCGGAACAACAATTTGGTTCACACAAATAGTTGCTCCGCGCGGGAATCGAACTCGCGACACGTCGCGTGTCAGCGGGTTGCCCAGCTACCGCACCAACCGTGCCGGCACCGTCATCTAAAAGGGACTTACTTTTTTCTTCTTTCTCGTCCAAAAATATTGGAAGGAGAAGGGAGGATGGCATTCTTCAGTTTGGAAAATGCTTGTAATGTTCAGTACCTAGGTACAGTTTAGATTCCCACCTACGTCAGGTTCACCATATCCATGTAGTCAGCGACCTTACTCCACCGTCAACCGTGTCCAACACAAGTTACCACATTTGAACAAATCCTCCCAACCCACTGTTACAACAGTTGACAACAAGTAAAGGCTAATGTGACTCGCTTTGATTTCTCAGTCGTGGTTATTTTTAGACATTGATTGGGTTTGGGGAGCGGAGGCGGGCAGCACTATCTGATGTAGTCATTAAGCGCGCTGGCAGTCAGAGGGACATACCCATCCTCACGCGAGACCACTGTATTATGAGCAATTTGTGTCTTTGTAGCTGTGTATTCATTGGGAATTTGTTCAGTTAGCGCTGCTGGTCCAACGTCCAAGTGCCCAATTGTTGCAGTGACACGCGGCCGATATCGCGACGAGCGTGATCAGATGACCAAACTCTCAAACTCCCGCATCTCATGCTAGTAGTACGCGCCGAGGGTGGAGGCGCTAGTCAAGGGAAGCCTCAACAAATTCCATTACATTATCCGAACACTATCTATAAGTAATTATCTCTAACGTTTCTAAAAATAGTAATGTATACTAAACAATTAATAAGTTTCTTGTGAAATGTCCGCACGTAGTAATTTACTTATTTAGCCTTAAGTGAAGGTATAGTGTTGTGCTGCACTCGCTAGCGTCGCCAGTGACTCTGTGCTCATTCTCTAATAGACCTCACACGTGGTCTGTACGTACTATGTACGTAGTAGTGTGTGTTTTGTGGTCAATTGTTGCACTCACACTGATACAGTGATATACGTGCAGCACATGATTACTTATTAAAAAGCAATTGACGGCTCTGTCTGTGTAGTCTGTGGCGTCGTGAGCTACATGTGTATGTTGTGCTTCACCGGAGTATCCACAAGACAAGTGTGAATGACGCGTGCTGCGTGCACTACCCATGTAGTATGTAGAGGTAGTGTACGTGAGGCCGTGCCACGCGGCCGCTCTGCTCCTCACTGATCATTTGAACGTGTCACGTTTCTTGAATGAAACTTTATTTCCATTAAACAACAATGTCATACGTAATTAGTGTATGTATCTGTACTGTCGTGTTGTGTACGACTAGCTATGTTTATCTACACATTGAACGTGAATTAGAAATCGAACAACACGTGTACTTATTTCTGATGTAATTTCTGTTGAGTGATGGTGTTGTTCTTCGCTTGCTGTTAAGTGGCGTCCCTAGGAGTGCCTAGTCGACAGTGACGGCCGATGGCTGTGTTAACAGTAACTTGTGTACTGCCACTACTGTCAGTAGTCAGTACCGTCGCTACTTCACACATAACTATCGCTCTGTTAATTATTATGCTATCGGTGTTCGCCTAATGTGGTTAATCCGCGGCCCACCTCGCACTTATCGAACGTTGCCTGCGAACAGATACCGCTGAAGGACGTCGATGCTTATCACAGCACGCAGCATACCATCGACATGCGGCACCGCTCCGCTACTCGTGCAGTGCTGCGGAGCTGTGGCGGCTCTACACTCCAGGCAGTTAGTCGTCTTGTTCGCACGACACTGCAACTGCTCTCCTTGTACCGTAAGGATTGATACATTGCCCTAGACTGACTCTGTAGAATTGAGACTAAAACCCCTCTCGGTTGATTAATAGCCCTCTGATAAATCTGAACTTTGTTTGACGACAAGTGTTTGGAGACAGTAGAGACAGACCTTCACTTCCAGTGCGTGTGTATCGATACACACACATACACACGCATGTCTGGTGTGGTGACAGTGATTTATGTCAACAATGGCTGACACCGCGCTGCGTACAATAACATTACGTGGCGCGCGGCGAGTGTCCGCGGTGTCACGGACTACTCACGGATATTATATTTACCTCAATCATTTAGATCAACATTTTGTTCGTACTGTGTATATGTATATGTAGGTACTTCTGTCTGTGTGACTGGTGCTAAGTAAACACCTGTTGATGCCTGTTTACGTTTACTGTGTTTAATATATACATATATAGTACATCTCAATATCGAACACTTTATGATTTATTTAACGCTTGATGATTTGTAATTAGTAACAGACTAACAGAAGGTACTGACCGAATTGTACCGAGTCACTCAAGTACAACATATTTTAGACTTCGATTTTACAAACCCTAGGAGAGACAGAATAAGAAATATGTAGTAATAGTATAGTCAGCAACATGTCAGACACTTGTGGTGTACAGACATCCACAGGTTCCATTAAGTTGCTATTATGTCTTTATGCTTGATTACCGTTTCACTGGTATAAAAAAATACATAATGGCTTTAGAAATATAAACCAAGCCAGCTAACATTTGGCGTTCTGTACGTTGTGTATACAACCACCTAGTTGACTACTGGAAGCGATCAGAGCGTTCGGAAGAAGTAATAAAAAATGTTAGCCAGACTTGGATCATGCCAATGTTAGCATTTCGGGAGTATAGTCTGTATAGTACTGCGAGCGCGTGGAGTATGGCGCCAGACTGTGTTGACGCTGGGAGCCGGACTGGCGGGAGGCGCGGCGTCGCGTCGCGTCACGCTCACGTCGCGCGCGACACCGCCTTACTCCCGTCGTCGGTCCAAGCAGAGACCGGCGACTACACAAACCCGCACGTGTGTCAGCAACACGCCAGTATTTACTGAATGCTGCATCTAATGGGGAACTTACAAGCGGAAGTGTAATGAAGCTGTATAAAATAAAATAAACATTATTGCTCGCTCCATTGTTGTGCTGCAACAACAACTTTGCTAGTCACGTAGTCACGTGGGCCGAGTGCACAGTGCTGTGTCCTCCTCGCCAGCCACCAGCCTGGCGGGCGGCAGGTACCGAGGTACGACGAGTGATAAGTATCGCTCTATTGCATTCATTGGTATTTAATATAATCTTCTCGGACTTAGAAGATATAGTCGTCCTTACGGTGATTATATTAAGATCTATAATTGTATGTAAGCTCTACATATCTGCAGTATAATAGTGCAAATGATGATAGTAGCAGTGATTATTGTTTTTGTGAATGATATGATGATGTTTAATCAGAACCGGTCGGTACCAGCCGCGAGCTGCGATAACGATACTTCACACGTCAATATGCAAATTGTTGGAAACTATAAAAATGTTAATCTTATGTATCAATAATTATAAAATACGTTTAAAAAAACTGAGTCAAATCCCCTTCCTGTCGATTAATTAATACCTTTAAGTGTGGGAGAGCCATGCTTCGGCACGAATGGGCCGGCTCGACCGGAGTGATACCACCAACGAGCAGAAAACCGACGTGAAGCAACGCTTGCGTTGTGTTTCGTCGTGTGAGTGAGGTTACCGGAGGCCCAATTACCCTCCCCTTCCCCAATCTCCGAAATTCCTGAATCCCCAACGATCCTCAAACTCCTAATCCCCAAAAGGCCGGTAACGCACTTGTGACGCCTCTGGTGTTCCAGGTGTCCATGGGTGACGCCGATTGCTTACCATCAGGTGATCCGCCTGCTGGTTTACCGGCTTATGCCATAAAAAATATATACTAAAACCGTCTCCTATTTGTAACAAACAATTTTCTGCACAACCGCTCCACCGCTTTCCGTTTCAAACAAAAATTAGGGAAATTAAAAAGTACCTATAAGACATTAGCACTCCAGTATAAAGTGCTTCATTGACTTCCTGCTGCCACCGCTCGCTACTGCTGCTCTGTAGTCGTAGAGTGCGGTTGTAGATCGGGCGGTCCTGTGTTCCATTCTCTATTGAGCTAAAAAGTTACGCTTTCAAAGTTAAAATACCGGTGAAAATTATATTACGGCGGTGAAGCTGCCGGGACGACACTACAACCTTAGCTGCCTTGTTGAACGCGAGTCGTCGAACCCTCCAGTGTCATTGTTTCTTACGATAAGAACATAGGCACGGAAGGTTCAACTCTATGGTGGGTATAGTGTGGTCAGTTCCTGACACAGCACGGCTTCCTCTCTCCTAACACCGCGACGCAGTAGGGGAGAGACTGTGCGCCTGCGCACTCCGGGAAGTAATCGCTATGATTGTCAGTCTCGCAGTCAGCGAGAGCCACCAACTCCCGGCATTAGGTAACATTCACAGTTTATCTACTCGTCGGGCGGAATAGGTTCAGATCAACGAAGCTGAGGTCACAGCAATCGTGTATTGTTTGTGTCAAGATGTCAAGTACGTCCGTCAGGTTATCAGCGAAATAACGTAAATAATATTTAGTTTCGATAACAATCTTATAGTGGAATAGTTTACGCAGTACTTGTGTTCGCCGTAGTGAATAGTGTGGTGGTCCGCAGGTCCCTCACGATGTCAGCTGCGGTGGACAGCGGCACGGGCGCGCTGAACGGGCGCGTGCACTGCGCGGAGTCGGCCACCAACGGCCACCACGACCCCCGCCCCTGGAGCCAGCAGTTCCTGCCCACGCCGCTGCACCTCGAGGACAGCGTGCGTGCACAGAAGGTAAACATAACATCTACCTACATAACATTATGCACACGCGACGCAATACTTTATCTCGGTCGGTTTGGACAGCATTGACCCTGTATCAACAATCGCGAGGTCATGATTGACGATGATGCCGACACGGCAGTATGCTATACAGTGGCAGTGTGGCACCCGCTCCACTGTTACTGGCAACCACTGCCGCCTACCTCACTCATTGAATGGGACTGCTAAATAAAAATATATATAACTTTTTATAGGGCAGACGCAGGCCAATTGAGAGAGAGAGAGAGAGAGAGAGAGAGAGAGAGAGAGAGAGAGAGAGAGAGAGAGAGTTGTCTTTATGTCTGTGCCTACCTTGTTACTGTCATGGTCATCCATCAGTGTGTCATCCATCAGTGTGTGGTGTTTGTCTGGGCTAGTATTAATTAAGGCACTGCTGTATTCGTTGACGCCGAATCTATTACACAGTGAATGACTGCCGAATATTTGTAGACACACGTCAGGCACAAAGATTGCTTTGGATAGCTGTGTGAGGGTGTTATCAGATAATTAGTTAATTATAACAGTAGGCGGCCACATGTATTTAGATACTGAGCCTATACCTACAGCTGATGTATCTATCACTCGCATTTATAATAACGTGTGTGGACACGCAGCCTTTCAGTACTAGGACTAGTACTACGGCTGGGGCTCTGCAATAGTGCTGAAGAGGAGGTCAACATCTACCGGGGTTCAGTGTCCACTGCTCGAGGCGCTCCATGTTAAGCTATAATGAGATAATTAATTATCGTAAGTGCTTATTCATGGCGACTGCGCGTCTTAATGCAATCTTGTCTAAAATTATGTTAGATAAGCTCGGCATTGTTCAGAGGCAGTACACCGCGTCCCACACAATATAGCTCCTAATGAATGCTGTCGATATCACCCTCCCCCCACGTCCCCCTCACCCTCCCCGGGTAGAGGCCTGCATAACTGTCAAAGACTTGATCGATGAGCGCTTCCTGTATCGTTGTCTGTTTAAACTTCACACTCACTTATTACTTACGAGCAAGTATGAGTGATGATGCAGCGAGTTCTTATAATTGGTTTCAGTGCATTTGTCGAGTGGCGCGTGCTGACGAGGAACTACAATACTGTAACCATCCCACAATATTGTTTCCAACCTGCTTGCAAAGTTTCTTATTTAGTCCACCAGTATAGTAGAGTGGTCCGGCGCTGAAGTGGTTCACGTGGTGTTGCAGGTGGAGGCGCGGCTGAAGGAGCTGGTACTATGCGGGGAGGTGCTGCGCCGCGTGGCCGATGTGTTCGAGCAGGAGATAGAGCGCGGCCTCAGCGAGCAGCCCTCCAGTCTGCAGATGGAGAACACCTACGTGCCGGAGCTGCCCGACGGGACTGGTATGAACCACAACTCCTCGCGAGGTACGCGGTCACCACACTTGCATTGCTAATAGACGTTATATAATGCAGAGGAGGGCGTGTTCCTGGCGCTGGACCTGGGCGGCACCAACTTCCGAGTGCTGCTGCTGGAGCTGGCGGCCGGCCAGCTGGTGCGACAGCAGGTCAAGCACTACCACATCAGGTACTGTATAGCACTGTGTCACTTGTCAGTGAGTTCCGTGCCTGGTTGTAACTTATATGACGTGTGTTTGCGTTTGCGTAGCAACGCGCTGCGGCTGGGCACGGGTGAGGAGCTGTTCAACTTCCTGGCAGACTGCGTGCTCGACTTCGTGAAGCAGCTGGGCATGGAGGACCAGACCTTCTCGCTAGGTGAGTACTATGTCATCGATGAACGACTACATTACATGACGTTTAAGGATGTTGTTAAGTGGTCATTATTTGTTTCGTGTATTGTGTGCAGGGTTCACATTCTCGTTCCCGATGAAGCAGCACTCGATCTCGTCCGGAGAGCTCATCACGTGGACGAAGAGCTTTAAGTGCTCGGGACTAGAGGGCGTGGACGTGGCGGCGCTGCTGGAGCGCTGCCTGCGCGCGCGCAATCTTCAGATCACAGTGCGCGTCCTACTCAACGATACCACCGGCACACTCATCGCTGGCGCACACATGCACAAGAACGTAGGGGTACGTACTCGTGCAGGCACCGGGCGGGCTGAGTCACACGTGTCTGTGTCGCTGTGTACAGGGCTTTGGCGCATGGACCGACACAATTTTTTCAGAGTAGTAATAGGTTCATAATAGTTCCTAGTTGCTTTTTAGTTTTTACCATTTGTTTCTTTGTAGTTCTTGGTTTTGGGAGTCGACTTCTTATAATAACTGGTTCTATTATTGTGTGTTGTTCCCGTAAAAATATGGGTAAAACAAAATAGTCGCCCGTATTTTTACAACATTATGAATAATTTTGGGACTTGTAGTATACTGTTAGAAAGGGAACTAAAGAACTTTTAAAAATAAAACTAAGTTCAAAATGGCTTTTAGTTTTTGACGTTGAACATTTTTTGGACCACTAACTAGACGCACAAACAAAAAGTTATGTAAAATTAATGAAAAATTCTTGGGAAAACTTTTTAATTTCAATAGATAATCATATGTGACCACCGTCACGTTTGGAACGAACTATTTTTGGGTAAATATTAGCTAATGACCTCCCAAATTCCTGAAAAAAATTTACCGGTCCATGCGGCGACCAGCCTGACAGCCTGTACATGAGTGTGGACTATCGACTACAGATTGGTGTGATCCTGGGCACGGGCTCCAACGGCTGCTACATGGAGCGCGCGTCGCGCGTGCAGCACTGGGAGGCGGCGCACGAGCGCGTGCAGGACGTGTGCGTCGACATCGAGTGGGGCGCCTTCGGAGACAACGGCTGCCTCGACTTCATCAAGACAGACTTCGACCGCGAGGTGGACGCCGGCTCACTGCTCGCGACCTCCTTCACGTAAGTCGCAGAGCTGTCTGGCCAGAATATTGAGTAGTGAGTGGAGCTGTGGCTGTACTGTAGTGTGGTCGCTGTGTGTTGCAGGTTCGAGAAGTACATCGGCGGCAAGTACCTGGGTTCGATTCTGTCGTGTGTGCTGAGCGCGCTGGCGCGGGCGGGACTGTTCCCCGCCGAGCCAGCACCCGACGCGCTGCAGACTGCTCATCTGAGCCTCTTTGAAGAGTTAGTATAATATTTGTCTACTATCGTTTAGCTGCTCAATTCATATAGTGCGATTTTATTACTTAAGTAGCTAGGTTAACACATCCAAATTAGTTTTAAAATTTTTAAGTAACTATAATTGGAAGATGTAATGTAGTTATGTTATAAAGCCGTTGTTTACTTCTCCAGTGAGAACTGTGCAGGAGAGGTGTCCCGCACGATGACGGCGCTGCGCGAGGTATGCGCCGGCGCAAGTATCACGGCGGAAGACGCGCGCGTCGCACAACATGTCGCGCACGTCATATCCAACCGCGCCGCGCAACTTGTCTCAGTGTGTGAGTAATCTGTGTCTGCCTGGACCTTATAATATCTAATTTGAACAACATTGTTTTCACAAAATTATCTCTTACTGTTCAATGCCTTAATTATTTTCAATTTATAAATGCGACTGAGATAACTCTCTAATAACAAGCCCCAGATTCAGCAAGACATAAACGTGTTGTACAGAGTGTTATCTGTCACGCCTAAGGGAAATAACTCTTTGGTTCGATCAGTATTCAAAACCTATAGAACCAGTGGTCAAAGTGGTCTTCAAAATAAAACAAGTCTTCATATAGTTTAGTTGAATGCCCACAGCTGTGGAGTGTATGCTTGTATATTGAGTCGCCCGTGGCGCAGGTATCTCGACGTTGGTGCGCCGCATGTCGCGGCCGCACGTGGCGGTGGCGGTGGACGGCTCCGTGTTCAAGCACCACCCGCGCATCGCTCGACTCATGCGCACGTACATCGCGCTACTGGCGCCACACCACTCGGTAACACTAACTCCCGTTACTTCATTACTTACCTCTGTGCGCACACACACAAACACGACACAAACTTACTATCACTACAAAATTAGTAGTAGAGTATAAAATATTATTTCATGCTCACACAAACACATATCCCGCCTGATAAATGTATACGTACTGGGTGCTTACTCTTGAGCCCAATCTCAACGTGAATGCAATTTCAATCCAATAAAATTTCAATAATTATTCAATGTCAAAACTATACAACTACAATCGTAGCTGTTACAATAGCATTTAGAGGCATTCTGCGCTGTGATTGGTTGCTTCATTGGCGCCGGCCAATCAGAGCGCCGAACGCGTACTCGTTTCGAATATTTTAAACGTAAATCAAACTCGTACTAAGGCCTCGGGATATAAAGCCAAACTCAATAAATACCATTTAGTTTATTCAATATCCACCCAATTCGGATGCAATGGGCGTTAGTGTTGCAACTCAAAAGTACGAAATTTCGCAATACTAATGTCGATCGATCGGAATTGGATTCAAGAGTAAGCCACATGTTTGTGTTTGTCAATACGAAAACGTATTTATAAAAGCACGGATGTCATAACACATGTTGGTTGCAGTTCTCGTTGCTGGGTGCCGAGGACGGCAGCGGCAAGGGCTCGGCGCTGACAGCGGCCATCGCGGCCCGCTTGGCGACGCGCGACTCCTAGGCTACCTAGGCTACAGGAGACGCTCCACGTGGACCCATTCCAACACACACTCCAACTTATTACTTGCGTTCATTTCTCAATAGTTGTTGTACTAGAATGCCACAAGAGTGCGTAGAGCGCTGTACTCAATACTCGCACTGACGGCGTCCTGTGCCCAGTGACGTCACTATCATGATATTGTTACCTACTATGTGATGTTGTTACGCTCATTTTACACATATAAGTAGTTATAGACTGTGGATGACTGCGTGAGTATGAATGTATAATGTATGTATGTGTGAGCTCGGTAGGAACTAATAGTGTAGCGTACTACGCGCTACAAACTACGAGCTGTAGGCTACGAGGCTAGGTGCTACAGACCACTCGTAGTATGCTACGCGCTAAAGACTATGCGTAGTAGGCAACCAGCCTACGCGTAGAAGACGACGTGGCTACGTGCTCTATACCAAGCGCAGTAGGCTACGAGCCTACGCGGTACAGACCACGTGTAGTTGGTCACGAAGCTACGAATACGAAGCTACACACTGCTATAAACTACATGCTCGTAGGTTATGTGCTACAGACTACGAGCTCGCATGTAGGACGCTACAGCGCTCCTGGTGCTTGGTTGTGTGACGCTCGCTGGTCGAGTTCAAGTAGACACGTTCTGTGTAATGTTTTATATTAGTTCCATGATATATTTTCATAATAATTAAAACTAATTATATTTTTATAGCGTTGACCCACGTTTACTCTGATTACTTTCAATACCAACCAGGTGATATTCAGTGCTGACAATGTGAGCAAAATTAAAAAATAAATAATGGTATAGAAAGACATGCATGTGTGTGTGTGTGTGTGTGTGAGAGAGAGAGATGTGTGAGTGCGTTAGAGTCTAGGTTAGTGTGTATGTTAGTTGTGACAAGGACTGAGAGATATTTAATATACAAAAGTTAGGTAGGCAGTAGGCAGCCATTGTCGCCACGCCCGCTCGCAATCAGCTACAGCGCCACAAGGACATGCCGAATGCCTTTTCTCAATCAAACTGCCTGCTTCAACGTGTGTGGCGTTTAGTTTCACGTTTTGTATCTAATATACTTACATCCGCGGGGTAGTTGCGTGGCGGCTGCGTGGCGGTTGCGTGGCGGCTGCGGGTCACTCGGGAAACATATCGCGCCACACTCGCGGTGCATCCGATGTTGTTACTTTGTTTTCGTAAATAATGCGAGATGTAGTAGCGCGGGACTGGACAAGTGTACAGGTTGTTACATACATTATGCATGGAGTGTTGCGCTGCAGTGGCCGGCCGCGGGACACACTGTGTATACCGTGTACATATGTTACTGTTTCTACATTTTATGTTAAGAATAAAATAAACTCAATTTCTGAATAACTTTGCTTTTATTTAATACTAGCTGTGCCCGCGACTTTGTTCGCGTAGAATAGTGACTATGAGCAGCGTTTTTTTTTTAAATATATACTTATTTTTATTTTAGATTTGGATCATAATCACAGTCATTTTGGGTAGCTAAAAAACCTACTTTACTGTAATGCTTCTCTATATACAATATTAGACGTATGGCCATCGGGGGTGAAAGCATACAGGCTGCTGGGATTGCTAACACGGGACAGAGCCACATACAATTGACCGTGCGAAAAACAGCTGATACTTAGATCTATACCCACAACTTTTAGAGTCTGACCTTGAGCTTTATTAATTGTCATGGCGAAACATAGGCTCACTGGAAACTGAATTCGTTTAAAATTAAACGGAAAATTTTTTGGAATGAGAGGAATCTGAGGAATAAAACCACTATCACCTTTTCCGCACCCTGTTAAATATATATATATTTATAAGCCATTTCTGAGATTAGCGTGAACAGACAAACAGACAAACAGACAAAAAAAAAGTTAGTTACATTTTTGGGTTCGACATCGACATAACAATAGCCCCTGCTATTTTTTTTATTTTTATTTTCAATGTACAGACAGCACTTTTCTACAATTTTATTATATGTATAGATGTATGGTGTCCACAGGTCATCAGGTGATCCGTCTGCTCGTTTGCCTTCTATTCCATAAAAAAAAAGTTATTTACTGACCCAGCTATGTATATGTATGTGTGTATGTATATTTTTCTCTAGTGAGCAAACTTCGTCTTATATACATACATACGAATGTAGACAAATATTTTATTCGGAGTCGCGGAGAACCTAACGGGTAACCGGGGCTCCGACTCGACGTGCAGGAGAAGGAACGTGGTGGTTTTTAGTCAGTAAGAGTCTGACACTCCCTCCCGCCTCACCCAGGCGGGAGCAGTCATTCGATGATTTTCCCCCATTAAAAAAAAAGACGAATATTTTTTTAGAATCTGGTACAATTAGTTCTGTAAGTATTCCTAAAACATGAAAATAATATTTAAGTTAATAAAATGAATTCTATCAATAACAATAGGTTGGTATTAGTTAATTATTATAATTTATTCACTTCTTCATCATCAGACCCTTAAAGACAGTCCCACCCCATCTAAGTGTAAAGTTCTTATTAATACAAATTATACAAGCCCAAACACACGGTAGTTACTGTATACCGTTGAGGAGTTCCCTCGACTGTCTATCGGCTCCATCATCAGGTCGACTCCAGACCCTTATCAAATTGTAGTGTTTAAAAATACTAATTGAAAAATATGATAGACGCATTACTCGCCCGTACTACTTTCGAAAGTTCCCCTCGGTTTCCCTAGGATTCCATCATCAGACCCTGACCTCATGGAAATGACAATTAGCCAAATATAGTATCTCTTCCTTTTTTTTGAGTCGGAAAAAAATACAATAGAATAATCTTTATTGTACACCAATTTGAGACAGTATAATATCGAGTTACAAAATAGGGTACAGTGGCGGCCTTGTCGCTAAAAGCGATATCTACCAAGCAACCTTTTTTAACCAACTTCGCACCCACTGATAGGTTAGAAGTCGGTGCCACTAACCCATAACCGTACAGATCAGATCGTGAGCCGTAGTGAATGGTCACAGCTGGAATAATCTACACTTATAATAAATCTGTAGAGAGGTCAATTCTGTACATGAAATATATTTCCAAAATATCTACCAGGGGGTGATTAGTGATCGATACTAATGCCAAAAAATGCAATCAGTAAAATTTTGTCTATCTGTCTGTATGTTCCTTATAGAAATAGAAACTACTCGACGGATTTTAACGAAACTTGGTACAATTATTCTTCATACTCCTGGGGAGGTTATACTATACTTTCCACCACGCTACAATCAATAGGAGCAGAGCAGTGAAGGAAAGTGTTCAGAAAACGGGAGAAGTTACTCCATTTTTTAAGCTTCCGTCGTGGGAGCAGGCTTAATAGTTAAAGCTACATAGAAATCATGTAAGACGGAAATCTTCTACATAAAATTATCTAAATAATACAGCACACGTGGATCTTTTATGGTACTACTTGTTTCAATTAATCGTGTAGTGATTTTAAAAATCAAGTTTTAAAACGCTAGAGCCCGTTTCGTACTATTGAAGGACGACCGAGTAATTCCATCGTACTTTCCTCAAAAATAATGTTATCTAAATATGTGCCACCGACATAATGTGTCGCCGTCATACATAAATGTATTATTGCTACATTGTTGGCTTTAATTAATGTAGTATTGTTCTGCAACTCCGTGGTTAATCAATTTAGTTCAGTGGCCCAGACTTAAAGTCATCGCACATCTAATAAGCACGGCTCCGGTACGGCTACGATGCGACGTTATTTCGTTGGCGCCTGGTGGGCGGCTCGCCGTCAGCTCGCCCTCAGCTCGCCATCGGCGCAGCGTACCCACGCGGGTGCCTCGACTACACCTCGAGTGGATCGCTCGCTGACCACCCCCCGTCGGTATTTGTATTGACGTTATGTAATATATCATACAACATACGATTTAAAGTTCATATTTAAATGACAACTTAACTGCTGTTTTGGAGGCTTATAGTTGTGTGAGTATGAGCTTTATAGTTATGTGAGTGCGTGCACGGTATGTGCGTGTGTGCGTGTGTGTGTGTGTGTTTGCGTGTGGCGCTAGTTACCGTTTTGTATATTGTTCTCTGAAGTGAACTGAAATGGTACCAATTCAGTGGTATACATCTGATATTGTACTATTACACAAGAAAGGTAACTCATTAGACATCAACAACTGTAGACCAATCAGCTCACTAGCAAATATGTACAAAATCTTCTCATCGCTACTTCTAAAACGCCATAGTCCAAGACATTGATAATGCTCAACTCATAGAACAAGCAGGATGCCACCCTGGCTTTAGTACACTAGATCACTTACAGGCACTGGAACAAGTTATAGAAGAATATAAAGAATTTAACACCCTTGGGTTTATTGACTACAAAAAAGCATTCGACAGCATCAGCCATACGGGAAGCACTAAAAACCCTAGACATTAATCTGAAATATATAACAATTCTAAAAACATAAATATATATAACAATAGCACAAGCAAAGTCAAACCGGAGTCAAGAGGGGAAACAATATAAATTGAGAGGGGAGTTAGACAAGGTGTTCCATTGTCGCCTAAATTATTTATTGCTGTTTTGGAAAACATATTTCAAAAGTTAGATTAGAAATCGAAAGGTATTACATTAACAATGGCTATTTAGATCATTTAAGATTTGTAGATGACATAGTTATAATGTCAGAAACGCGACCTCGAAGAAATGCTCACTTGAAGGAGTAAGCTACGAAGTGAGTTTGGAAATGTATGCGTGGAAAGCCTATCATCATAAGAGAAATTACGATAGAATATATCGACAACTACATCTATTTGGGTAAACAGTATCGTATCGTTTAAGATCACAAACAACGAAGATGAAGTTGAAACGAGAACATTGGTTCTCATACATGGAAGATATTCTGCGCTCTCAAAGCAATCATAAAAGGAGACTACACAATAAGCATGAAGAACAGTTGTGGCGACTCATGTCACATGCCAACGGACGACGTCATAAAATCCAACATCACACATGCAAAGTTTACATGCAAATTAACACGGATAGAAAATCCTAACGAACAACTATTGCGCAGAAAGCCCGCTAGGCACGATCACCTCGCCTGGTCGGAGGATCCTCCTTTTCCGATCTTAGGGAAATTTATCCTCTGTTCCCTAAACAGTTATAGATACCTGCATACTTTCCTGCCGGCTGTACGGTTGCTAAACTTAGGTATTTACGGTAAAAGCAAGCTAGCTAGCAAGCAAAGCTAAGCAAAAGGTTCAAACTACACAAAGGGCTATGGAGAGAGGTATGTTAAACATAAGAAAAATATACAAAGTCAGAAGTGAAGAAATAAGACAGAACAAAAGTAACCGATGCCCTGAACCAAGCTCTAAAACTGAAACGACAATGGGGGGGCATGTAGCACGGTATAAGGACGACAGATGGACATCCAAAGCCACCAAGTGGAAAGGCATGGGCTGATGGCTTAAGAGAAATAGCAGGAGACGATTGGCAAACCATGGCCAAAGACAAAGGGAATTGGAAACAACTGGAGGAGGCCTTCACCCGAGGAGGGGCTCACACCCGAGGAGGCCCTCACAACCTAGTGTAATACTTACTTGGAGTAAAAATACAATCATTTCAATATTTCTACTTATGTAATTATTTAAGGGTTCTGGGAAATAAAGGATTCTTATCCATGTTACCTTATCTTATATTGTTCTCTAAATGAAACACACATTTAAATAACAAAACATAATTTCATTTTAATGGTCATTTATAAATAATTAATACAAAATATTAAAGATTTAGCCTATAACAAGTTATCGCTTACCTTATAAAATGTTAAAAAATCATCCTTACAGCGTAGAGTATAACCTATGTACCGAGTCAGCACACCGACGAGTCGTCGTCCTCGAGCAGCGCGCGCGCCGGCAGCACGTGCAGCGCGCGCGCCGTGCTCGCCCCGCCCACTCTGCTCACGAGACCTCCACCTTCTCGCGCACCTTGCGTAGGATGCTCTGCAGCTCCGACGCGGAGGTCGTCTTGTACTGTAACAGGGAGCCAGTGCTGTACAGTAACTGTAGCGCGTGGCTGAGTGTGAGTGAGTGGGTGCGTGAGTGAGTGAGTGAGAGCGAGCCGGTGCCTCACCGTAGAGCCGGCGACTCACCCCCGAGATGTTGCGTTGCACGAGGATCTGGCTGTAGAGCCGCTTGCCCTCTTCCGCGCCCAGCGCCTTCTCCAGCTGCGCGCGCGTCAGGGCGAACAGCTGGTGTCCGGGCATGCGCAGTGCGCGCTGTGTGGCCGCGTTGAAACCTTTCGCTTCTAACCATTCTGCCACCTCGTCGGGGTTTGATTTCTGCGAATAGTAAATCACTGTGACGACCGAGACTCTCAGCAGTATGTTATATGACCTCACTCGTGTCGGCGGGTCTGTGAAGTACCTGGTCGATGAAGATGTCTGGTGTCTTCTTGATGTCGAGTTTATTTTTTCGCTGCTGGATGGCTGGCAGCACCAACTTCAGTTCCTCCTGCAGCCCGTCGTTTTGGCCCATCATTGACTTGGTCGCTGCAAACAGTTGCAGGTATTTGGTTAAGTCCCTGGCCTAGACACATCTAGTAGTACATGTGAAGTGACGTTATGATGGAGTGGAACTTACATTTGACGGTGTCAGAGGTGGTGCGGGGGGGTGGTGGAGCGGCGAACACGGGGGCGGGTAAAGGCGGGGCCGGGGGGTGGCGGCGGCGGGGGCGGCGGGGGAGGCGGCATCGCTCGCTCTGTAACGTTGCGCTCACTTGTACACGTCGCGTCCACTTCGATAACTAGATACTAAGTATTAACCGTTCACAAAGAACAATATTTATATATCAGCTATAGTTGACAAAGGCAATACATGTTCAAAACAAAAAAATAAGCTGACTTACCGTGACACGGTCGCATACACAGACACACACGAAAACAACATTTATGTAAGCGAAGCACAAACACACACAAACAAGCTTGTGTGACAGACGAGGTAGAGGGCGCTGCCCGGCTGGCAACTGTATCGTGGGGAGGACACACAGACAGACCAACACCGACTTTGATAGAAATGAATTTAATTATAAAGTAGGTACATATAGGGAGCATTATATACTTAGATGACGGCGGAGAGGACTCCGCTCACAATATATTAATTGTATGAAAATATACCCATATCATTTGTTTCATCTACATAATATCTAGCTACAGATATATTATTCCTCTGAATATATTCATGATTAATCACAATGTAATAATTTAAATCAATACAATGATAAGTATCGGACAGTGCGCGGCGCGCGCTCGTCGCTCGCTCGGCGCTCGGTACGAGCGGAGCGGCGACTGTACTACGTATACATTGACAAAGTTAATAATTTAAATCAGACTTTATGACACATGTACACACACGACACAGTCACTCGGACGCGACAACACGAGGCAAGCGCAAACACTCAAGCACGCGACCGACTGGGCGCCGCTTGGCCCCGCCCAGCGCAATCTAGCACGCGTCGCGCGCGCTAGAAGTAGCGGAACTCGCCCTTCTTGCCGAGCCTTTCGCGGCGCACCCAGTCGGCGGCGCCCGCGCCACCCGGCCCCGCGGCCCCCGCGCCCCCGGCCTGCCCCCCTGCGCCCCTACCCGTGGGCCCTGTGGGACTGCTGCCGCCGGAGCCGCGCCCGCCTGCGTTCTCCTGCAACATGAAAAGATGTCAGTGAACGAAATTATTTGACACACAGTCTTTGCTTTGTATATTGTTCCTTAGTGTCGGTCGGTACTATTCAATACAAAGAAATACCAACATTATTTTATTTGATCACAGGTAGCAGATACATGTATGTCCACAACTTGAACTGAGAAATAAATGACACTCATTCATTCATTCATTCATTCATTCAACCAACCAGCTACTTATTGTATGGCTATATCTCCAAGTAAGTGTTCCAAACGTGAACTACAGGATTGATCAGATAACTCTTCAATATTCCTATTGCTTGTTTATTTGTCTGAGTTTTGGCTAGGTCTGGGCTGGTTACAAGAGACTAACCTGGTAGTGTGTGTAGATGGGGTTGGGGTAGAGGTGCGGCGAGGCGGGCGGCGAGCTCGCCGGCGCCACGATAGTGTGGGGCACGTGCGCCGTCACGCCGCGCCGGTTGCGCGCCTTCCACCACTTGCGGGAGTCGTCCAGCACCTGCACAGCGCGCGTACAGTACACCGCACCCGACACGAGCGGGTCGGGGCGGGTGTACCGGGTACTCACCTCGAGGTACTCGCCGCGCACGACGGTGAGCTCCTTGTCGTTGTTGGCGGTGCGCGGGTACGTGACGCGCACGACGCGGCCGCCGCGCGCCATCACGCCGCGCGCCCACGCCTCGCCCAGGTCATCTGTAAGCACATAGAACTGTCAGTACCCAGTCCGCTTTGCTACAGTACTGGCACAGCTCTGCCCGACACTGTCCCCTCTTACCGTCGTCCCGGTCGCCCCGGTAGGGCTCCCTGTCGGGCGAGGAGGCCGCGCTGCCTGAGTCGTCGCGCCCCATACCGCGCATGTTCCTGTAAACATACCACAAATAGTCTAATAATCGCTTGCTAAACGTCTGCCATATAAATGCACAAAGCATTCCGAGCCACCACAGCGACTTATTTGACACGTTCAATAATAGCAATGTCCACGCCATTCTGATATCTGAAACTTGGCTCAAACCACCACTGCTGTCCACAACCTACCCTCTCCCAGGTTATGTTCTAATAAGAAATGACCGCACAGTTAAGAGAGGGGGTGGTGTTGGTATTTATCTCCGGAGCGAATTTTCGTATAAGGTCCTCTTTTCTTCTTCTCCCAACTGTCCCGCGGAGTATCTTTTCCTTGAAGTTTGTAGCCGAGGGGGGAAAGTTGTATTGGGAGTTGTCTACTGTCCTCCTACTGTTGATTATTTCACTGACTTCGAATCGGTTCTTGAATCTTTGGGTTCTGGGTACGCGCATCACATAGTCATGGGCGATTTTAACACTAATCTCCTTTCCCACGAATCCCATCGATCCCGTAAACTCCTTCATATAATTGAGTCAGCCAATTTTCATATACTGCCGCTCAATCCCACCCACCACAACATTGTGGGTGATGATTCTTGGCTTGATCTAATCCTTACCTCCAATCCTTCCTTAGTATCCTGTCATGGTCAACATGACGCACCTGGATTCTCTCACCATGACCTGATCTTCCTTTCCTACATCCTAAAACCGCCCAGGGTGAAGCCCAAGGTTTTGTACAGGCGTTGCTTTGCGCGAATGGATGAAGCAAAATTATATGATGATGCGTCAATGATTGACTGGGAGCCTCTAATGGAGGCGATTGAAGTCAATGATAAAGTGGCAATTTTCAATGCTGAGGTAACGGACTTGTATGACCGCCATGCTCCCATTAGGAGGGTGAGGATTAAGCGGCCACCTGCACCATGGATGACGCAAGGGATCAGAATGGCGATGAGGCGCCGCGACCGAGCCTTTCGCAAGCATCGCAGAGACCGCACGGAAGAAAGCTGGGCAGCCTATAAGGTTGCAAGAAATCGGTGTAACCAGTTGGTACGTAACGCTAAACGCCGCCATGTTCTCGAAAATATCTCTCATTCTTCTCCTGCCGATATCTGGAAATTCCTTGGAACTCTAGGTGTCGGCAAAGCGCAATATCCAGACCTCCCCAACACAATTGGCTTGGACGATCTCAATAACCATTTCTCCACAGTCCCTCTTATGGATCTTCTAGCCAAGGAACGTACTGTGACACATATCACTGGTCTGATGCGCCCCGAAATTCCTACACCCTTTCGTTTCGTTCCTGTTGAGTCGTCGGAGGTCGGTAAGATAATCCTGTCCATAAAGTCCAAAGCGGTAGGCTGTGATAACATTTCTCGCCACATGATTGTTACAATTCTGGATCACATCCTACCAGCGATAACCCACATAGTAAACTTCTCCCTCTATTCCGGCACCTTCCCATCCCTGTGGCGTAATGCCTTTGTTCGTCCACTTCCAAAAGTCTCAGTTCCCACGGTCCCCTCTCATTTCCGGCCTATATCAATACTCCCTTTCCTGTCCAAAGTCCTTGAAGCCTGTGTCCACAAACAGCTTTCCAAATTTATTTACACCAATGGACTCATCAGCCCTCTCCAATCTGGATTCAGGCCTGGACACAGCACTGTTTCTGCCCTCCTTAAAGTGACTGGCGATATTAGAGCAGGCCTTGAGGACACGAAAGCTACTGTTCTAGTTTTAGTAGATTTCTCGAATGCCTTCAATATGGTCAGTCACGATATCCTTTTAGCCATCCTATCCCATCTTACGATCTCTGGAACATCACTGGAATGGTTCTCTTCATATCTTCAGGAGCGTCAGCAGTCGGTCAAGCTGGATGATGTATCATCAAACTGGTGCGAATTAAAAGCTGGCGTTCCTCAAGGCGGTATTCTATCTCCTCTTTTATTTTCCATCTTTATAAATCTCATAACTTCTGAACTTCGGTGTGCGTACCATCTGTATGCCGATGACTTGCAGCTGTACTGTCAGGCTGGTGTCGAAAGGCTGTCTGATGCTATTTTGAGGGTTAATGATGACTTGGCAGCCATTAATAATTGGTCTGAAAGGTTTGGCATAGCAGTAAATCCTCTTAAATGCCAAGCAATAATTATAGGTAGCACACGTGCGCTGAGCGGGATTAACAAGGCTAATTTACCAACGGTCATCTTTAACAATGCCGTTATCCCTCTCAGTAATGACGTTAAGGATCTGGGGCTGTGCATAGATACTAACTTAAGGTGGCATGCACAGGTCGTTAGTGTATGTAAGAGGGTCACCGGATCCCTGGGGGCACTATATAAATTAAAGAATTTGCTTCCTTCCGCTACAAAGGCTATGCTGGTGCAGGCCTTGGTTTTTCCTATTATTGACTATGCTGACGTGTGTTACTTCGACCTGAATGCAGATCTTCTCAATAAACTTGACCGACTTTTAAATAACTGCATTCGATTCGTGTTCAATCTGCGTAAATATGATCATGTGTCTGCACATCGGTTGCAATTAAAGTGGTTGCCCATACGCCAACGCAGGGAGCAAAGGGCGCTAACCACTCTATTCTCCTTTTTAGACTCGCCTTCTTCCCCGAATTATCTATCCCCTTACTTCCAATACATATGCGCAAACCACAATAAAAATCTTCGCTCTTCTCATAATCGACTTCTCCAATGTCCTACTCACCGTACTGACTTCCTTCATTCTTCCTTTTTCGTACAAGCTATTTTTTTGTGGAATGCGCTCCCCAAGGATATCAGAATGGTGAAAAGTCGTTTATCTTTCAAGCAGAAGGTTCGTGAGCTTCTCCTGACGAGGTTGGCTGCTTCATCACACTGACTATACCTTATGTATTTTATGTATATATGTATGTATGTATCTATGTGTGTATATATATATACATATTATAGTTATATAGTATGTATTCTTCAATATATATATAGTTGTGTTGTAGTATATATATATTGTGTATATTGTCGAATTATACCTATATGTGTTCTTTCAAACAATTAAATTCAAAGCATGTTCTTGCACCCGCTGATTACTTTCTCTGCACCACCCAAGGGTCAGACTGGTAGAAAATGCCTGCGGCATTAAGTCCACCCATGTACTTGTTTGTGTGCATAAAGTTTTTTAAATAAATAAATAAATAAAAAAAATAGTGATTGCCATTCTCACACTTGGTAGACTTTACTAAGTATATTATGCAACTTCATTGGCTACCACACAACATTACAAAATCCAAAGTAACATAGTAAGTAACTGTTGGTGGTATTAATTTATGGTATGCTACCTTGGGATAGGGCGCATATGGCATATCTAAGGTCGAGTGCGTATTGCATACCTGGGGTCGAGTGCGTATTGCATACCTGGGGTCGAGTGCGTATTGCATACCTGGGGTCGAGTGCGTATTGCATACCTGGGGTAGGGCGCGTATTGCTCAGCATACATGTCGGGCTCGTCGCGCTCATAGCGCTCGTACGCGGCGGGCTCGGCGGCCGCCAGCTCGGCGCGTCCGCCCGAGCTGCGGCGCGGAGACGACCTGGCACGACACGACACGACACGTCACGACACAAAGCGACAACACAATAGGTACTGTTATCTAGACGGTAATGTACTAGGTAACACAAAACCACCACCACGACGCTAATGTAACTCGCTGGTGTAATGCAGCCGAGAATGTGCTGGCACCCAGCCGGCGGCCGCAGTGACCACGACCCAGTGAACATGTACCCACATACAGACAATACAAACATGTACAGTTAAGGTACCCACCTCCGCAGCGGCTGGTCGTCCACCTGGTAGTCGGGGCTCCAGCCGTCCATGAACACTGGCTGGTACGGCGGGATGGTTGTCTTCCATTGTTCCCTGGTGACAGACAGAGCAACCCTGTTATATACGCGTGGGGAGAGACCACGGCTCGTTGTGGTCGTACGCCACAGAGCTGCGCATGCCGCAACTGTTCAACATAATCGCTGACTAATAAATTAATACACAGAGATAAGATACAGCTACCTAACTAACGATTAGTAAAGATTAAGCATTAACATTCCAAGTCAATAAATAATCGTGAGGTCTCCTCGGATGCAGACTGTTCCATGGGTCAAAATCAAAACCTTTCCTGACTGCACGGGCAGTGAACTGGTGACTGTGCAGGTTGCGCATGCATGCACCTGCACCACCGCGTGGAATGCGCCGGGTGTCGCTTTAATGTGGCACATAATTTGCATACTATCATAATAATTTGAATGGTACTGATATGTTATCTGTTTATTTTACGTACAGTGCCTCTTTATCGATGCTCACCGGAATTGTACACCGCGCGGATTATCTGGTGGCTAATAATAAATGATGGCCAAGGATTAGAGCTCGGCGCGATACGATAAACATGGAGGTACCTGGGTATGAGCCAGGCGTCGCCCAGCGAGTGCCACAGCTCGGTCTCCTTGCTGGTGACGCAGTTGGCGAGCAGGTTGAGCGCGTCCCGCGTCAGCAGCGGCTGCACGACGCGCGACGGCAGGCGGCCGTCCGCCGTGTCCTGCGCCGCGTCCACGATCAGCGCCAGCGGAGTGAACAGGAAGTGCACCAGCTCCGGCGCGTTGGGGTCGTGGATGTGCGCGCGCAGGCGAGCCAGCAAGTTGAACGACAGCTTGAACTTCTGCAGCACGTCCACGAAGTCCCGCTCCGGCGGCGGCCGCGTGCGCAGCGCCAGCATGCCCTCGCCCGCGTTAGCACCACCGCTGCCTGGGGACCGAGCAGTACTCGTAATGGAATTTATGGTTGGATATCCAGTGTATCTACGAGATGGTTAAACTCATTTTTTCCCATAAAAGTTGAAGTTTCTTCATCATATGATTCTACTCTCAATACTTACCTTCACTGACTGACTGACTGACTGACTGACTGACTAACTGACATACAATTCTTTATCTTATTTAAGAGTGCCTGTAAGCCCTGTATTTGCGTTTATTGTAGCACGTACCTGTCCCACGCCGGCCGCCGCGGGAACGCCGTCGCCTTTCGAGCTCGCGCTGCGCCGCCGCCGCGTGCTGCAGCCGCGCGATGAACTTCTCGATGTCGTCGAAGCAGCGGTTGAGGATGGCGATGTCCTGCTCGTACAGCCGCTCCGAGCCCGTAGACGACGCGTCGTCCCGCTCGCCGCCGCTGCCGCCGCGCTCGCCGCGCCCGAGCTGCGCCGACATTTGCTGCAACACAAACAGTGGCAGTTGTCAGCACTGCAGGGAGCTCGCTGGCGCTTGCAGCAGACGGCGGTACTCACGGTGAGCACGGCCTCCCACTGCTGGTGCGTGTACGTGGTGTACAGTCGTGGCTCCATGGTGCCGCCGCGGCCGCCGGGCGCCGAATGCGCGCTCGGCTCGGACTCGAGCTTATCGTGCTGATAACTCGCTACTACTAATCCCCTAATCAAGCATTCGGCCATCCACACGCAACCGACCGCGCACCACAACAACAACAACCTGACACTGCTCACTGACTCTCTGTCTCTCTCTCACTCACTCTACGCACTCTGCACGGTATACAAGACCTAATAAATGTAACTTGCGTCCACTCTCAGTCAATAAGTCGCCTTTACATTTAAATGCTAAATCATAGGATTTGGAAACATTGAAATATTAATATTTTCAGATTGTAGGTACCTGGCAATGTTGTAATGAGTTGTGATAAGATAAACATGCCGATGTGAAGGTTCGTATGACTCAACATACAATGTATGTACACACACAGATATATGCAGCATACAACATATTATGTAGCTTACGAAACTAGGGACGTACCTGTGTGTTGGTTAGTACGTATCCGAAGCATATTTCGAAATGTCGCAGTTCTTTATGTTGGGTAATATTTGAAAATGTTAAACTATTGAAACGTAAGAAGGTCGAGATCGACAGCTATATAACAACAAGCTGCTGTATGCTCCCAGCTGCACAGGGAGGTGCGGGCCCGCCGACATGAATCCGGGCGACAGGTGTCGCCACTGTTTGAATGGAATTATATCGGCACTCCTTCAATTTTTATTCCTCTCAGTAGATATTGTGTACAGACACACACACACACATATCTACACTATAGTGTGACACACACACACACATTTTACTTGTTGAACTTAGAATACCTAACACACGGAATGCATAACATTTACATTGATTGAACGCCATACTGCAACTTCCGACATGTAATCTTATCTTAAGGTGCTTCCTCACCGGGAGCAGTCGCGTGTAATGTAACGTTGCAGAACTGAGCATTACATCAGTGAAGGAGGAGAACCGAGCATTACAATGCGCACCTTGTAATGATACAATGTGTAATATCTTGATACAACTTGTTACATCAATGCGCTCTATTCCCACCCCCACCCCCACGCCCGCTTCGTCTGACATCTTGCTATGAAATGCTCAAAGTCGAATCTAATATGTTACATTACACGCAAATGCTACCAGTGAGGGAGCACCTTTAAACAATAATTTCTACGTTATAAAATATGTTAGGGCGTGTTTTAAGATGTTTTTTACTGAAGCAAAATGGATCCTAAGGCTAGGGTTCAATCTTAGGACGAACGTGTCCTGCTTACATGGCAGGCAGTGAGCGTGTGACGTCACCGTGCGCCTGCGCAGTGCGCGACCAGCTCCGGCTATCAGCGTGGTTATCTCGGATCGATACGATAGCGCGCACGATACGCGCTGCCGATGTAATCGCCGCGACTATTTCTAGAACCGGCATTGTTGCGCGGTGACGCACACACACGCACACACCGTACACTCTGTCAGTCACTCCAGCAAACGAATGTGTATCAAAAACAAAAACAAATCCCTTTGCCATCCAGCCCTCGGTCCCCGACACGGCCACCACCTGACTATACCCCAGCAGTCCCGGCAGAGCTGCCGCTCACTGACTGCACTGATTGCCGCTTAAACATCTACGTGGGTACGTGATAGTGGAATGTTATCGGTGCACTCACGTAACGTAATGTACGCCAGCAAACTGTGAATACAACCGGATCGATATATGTTAACGGCTGAGTAATGATTACGTCGGGCGAAAGTCGTAACGTAACCGCAGCGACATCTCCCTGCCTCCTGCCCTGGTTGCTGTTGCGATGCAGGTGCAGCGGTTTAGTTAAACTGAACTATTGCTCTGGCTAGTAACAGGTCTGCAGTCTTATGCAGTGTCAGCTATGTGTTCCTACATAGTGTGTGGCTGTACGAACCTGTCTCCGCGGCCGCTCGCCATCATTCTCCCGCTCTCGTTCGCGCTCTCTCTCGATGATGAAGTCTCGTCCGCCGTCGCCGGGGCCACCTCCCGTCACACCCCTGCACACATACACATACGCGTTAATATTTCATCACTTTTCTCGTGAATGCTTATATTGGGATAGTGGATGGGAACGCGGCCAGCGATGAGAGTAACTTGGTACAGGCCATTATAATTTATTTCTCCAGTGGGAGCCTCTTAATATTGAGGTCCTATTATTCGACATTCTCACAACACAGCACATGTGCACTGAAGCTTGCAGACCAACTTCATGTCCTGGTCAAGCGGTATGGAACTACAGACAGTGGGTAGTGGTGTAGCGACAGTATCAAGACACACAGACGGCACGCACACACACGGCACTACCAGGAGTAGGCGGCCACGGGCAGCGCGATCTTGTGCTTGATGTAGATCATTCGAGGAGCGCAGCGGACTGAGCGCGCGGAGGCTGAGCCGCTCTCCGCCACGTCGAGATACCGGCGCGCGGCGATAACGCGCGTTATCTCGCGGCAGTCGCTTTGTTGTGTATCGGAGAGTAAGCCAGCCTGCAGTGTCAGGGCCGACACTTACTTGAGCGCATTGAGCTCCTCCACGAGCACCTGCGCGCTCACGTCGTGGCACTGGAAGATGTGAAGCTCGCGGCGCGGTGCGCCCCCCGCCCCGCCGGGCGTGCCTGGCCCGCCCGCGCCCTCTGCCGCGCCCACCACGAACGCCAGCACGTTGTTGTACAGCTCGGCGGGCTCCGGCGATGTGAATGCAGTTGGGGTGTGCACCCAAGACGCGGGGAAGCGTTCCATTATCGACTGGAATTATAGAAAAGACGGCATTTCAATAAACATGTCTGTGTGAGTTCAAATTTACCAACAGGCAGTAAAGATAATGAATAAGGCAAACAAAAATGGATAGAACTTACTCCTGTTTCGTAGTCCATGACCAGTACCCACGAACCCTCCAGACATAATTGCATTTTTTGGCTCCATATTCCTGCAAGCAAAGGACTAGCGTCAGTGTCAGGCCCGGCAGCCTCCACGAGTACAATGAATGATTAGTATTCTGTGCGCGAGTATACTGACCGTTGGTTTTCTCTAGCTGTAGCAGTCTTCGCATGCCATCGGCGGGATACACGATGCCGGTCTCCCGGGTGACGGTGAAGGTGGCCAAGTGCTCGAGCACGTACACGCTGCGCTCGGCCTGGCTGGCGCTGTCGCCGCCGGCGCCCGCGCCGCGGAGCCCCGCCAGCTCGTCGAATTCATCGAGCGCGCGCTGCGTGTCCCCGCGCGAGCGCCCCGTGCCTCCGCCGCGCGACCCCATCGCTGGCTCAGGCGCGCAGCGAGCACATCACGCCACTCCCACACTAGACCCGGCACCTGCGACACACCAAACACATGCATTGCTCGCCGGGTGACGATTTCTCCGAGTGAGAGGTCCGCGCACCGCGCATGCGTACGCGGCCAGCATCTTAACGAGCTGCGCCGCTCGTGGACACTGACCACCACTGACCACCGGTCACTGCCACGGTGACTACTTCGACGTGTGACACTACTTAGTATTATTATTACTCATCCTTTAATTAAATTAGACCAGTAGAATTTTGTCAGCTTCGAGTTGTCTCTGTTATTTTTTTCAACAAAACCAACAAAACTATGTAGCAATTGTATTGTGAACCTGATTGAAAAAGAGAAGTCTATGAAGTTTCTTCCTCGTTCTTGTCCATAGGAATATCCACCATGGATTGAGCAGCTTCATTATTTTTTGTTGACGTTCAAAAGTGCGTTCCTGGTCTAATTGAAATAAATGATTGACTTTGACTTCGTATGAAAAAAAAACCGCATCAAAATACGTGGCGTAGTTTTAAAGATCTAAGCATACATAGGTTTAGAATATCTTCATTTCTCACAAATAATCACATACATAATTCACTTACTGAGAAACAATATTTCACACAAAAGTAAGCAGTTTAGAGCGCACTGTAGTACGTACATATAAACGAAAACAAAATAATATAAAAGAACAAATATCAATGTTCACTATTTAAAAATGTGGGCAAAGTGATAAATTAACATAAAGAACAGAATTAAGTAACACGGACAGAGGACGCGTGAGGCAGCGAAGCGCTGCCTCCTCACAACCTAGCCGTCGCGAAGGACACTCCGAGCGTCTCCAGCCACCGTAAGCGCAGGCCTGCGGACGACGAGCATGGGTGGCTCGCCGCCGGACCAGAGGCCTTAGTACGAGTTTGATTTACGTTTAAAATATTCGAAACGAGTACGCGTTCGGCACTCTGATTGGCCGGCGCCAATGAAGCAACCAATCACAGCGCCGAACGCGTACTCGTTACAATTACTTTAACTCGTCGAGTACCGGTTTTGTAAGAACAATAGGTTGCGGTCACCGGTGACCGCTTGGTGTTTGACAGTTTAAACGTAAAACAAACCCGTACTAAGACCTCTGAACCAGACCCGAGCGAACGGCGCGTCGCGTTCCGCGCGCGCCTCAATGAGTCATCAGACCACCACGGATGGGGCCCAATAGGGCTGATGCTAATTCGGTGTCGCGGACGGCTCGATGTGCAGGAGAAGGAACGGGGTGGTTTTTAGAGTCAGTAACAGTCTGACACTTCCTCCCGCCTCACCCAGGCGGGAGATGCCATTCGATGATTTTACCTCCTAAAAAAAAATTAACTATATATATATATAAATATCTAACATTACATTGCATTTATTTTGCAGAAAGTGCTAAAAGTTACGAGAACCACTGCGTGGGTAAAGTCGATGTTCGATTCCCGTGTGGAGAAGTGTTGTTTTGGTTTTCAACTCCAACTGGGCTGAGGTTTGCGAGCTGGTACAGTTTTCGCTAGAGCTTCCGTAGGATGTTGGTATGGCGACTTGTAGTTACAAGTAGCCAAACCTGTGTCCGACGCGTACAGTAACTACTGTCATCGGAACGAGGCCGGGTGACGGGTGAACCCATCACCCGACGGGGGACGGGTGAAGGGTGACGGGTGTACCTGGGTGAATGCACGTATTGTTCTGTAACCTGTACAAACATTCCAATACAGCGCCGACCACCGCAGGTACTTACTTCGTTATATTGTACCGGAGCGAGGAATCTCCAGGAATCTGTTTGCGTGCAAGGAGTGGAGGAACTGTTACACCTTACTATTGAAACTCACACCCCGGCGCGGTGTCAGACCGCGTCGCCGACTGCACCGAACTGTTGGCACTGTGCTGTACAAGTACATGTAATGGCACGAAACCTCTCAGAGTTGTTGGAGATCACTTTATGTTTGACGAAGGTTTATATTATAGCGTCTTATTGTGAAGAATGCGAATAACAAATAATTGATTATCAAGTTGAGCGCGATGTATACGACGCGAGCTTCACGAATGTTTGCACCAACACAACAGCGCGGTGCGCATGTGTGCGTGCGATATCGTAATCGCGGCAGGTATGCGGACGCGCGCTGTATCGGTGCGCGGTGATAAGCCGCGGACACCGCGCAGTAATCCAGCGCAACACTAGCTCGCCCCGCGGCCGCGTCTAGTGCACAATATTATCGCGTTACACAGACAGCATGGCATTGTGTTCCCTCGCAATCTCAAAGTAAGGGTGCGACTCTCTGTTCATAAATCTGTATTGATTTCCTATTCAGAAATGCTCTCCCTCTGTCCGTAAGAACATCACAAAATCAAAGCCTTTGCATCCTTTCTAAACCCCAAACTATATTAGTAGGCAGAAGCAACCGCGGCGCGGCGCGGGAAAGTATTCAATTTCACCGAAGACATGTAGTTTTGCATAGACGCGTGTCGTGTTACGATCACATACTCGACAGTCGACAGTCGACACTTTTAAATATTTATTACTTAAACAGTTTACTTAAACTAAATTAAACTGTCAAACACCAAGCGGTCACCGGTGACCGCAACCTATTGTTCTATAATTGTGTCTATAACGACGGTACCTACTTGACGAGTTAAATTGAATGTCTTATTAATAGTTACCTGCACCGATGGTGTCTATTTCACTTGTTTGGTTTTACTTGGGCCTGTTTTAATTAATATTTATATTAACTCGTCGAGTACCGGTTTTGTAGACACAATTATAGAACAATAGGTTGCGGTCACCAGTGATCGCTTGGTGTTTGACAGTTTAATTCCATATTCAATAACGATATTCATAATTTAAAATAAATTAAGTAATGTGCGTATTCCTCGAAACGCACCTACTGATAGGTACAAATGACATCAATAAACGTTGACGTCATTTGTACCTCAATCGTTTACTAACGACTCCACAATGCTTTTATACTACTTGCAGCTGAATCTTGACTATTTACTCATTTTATTCTATATTCACGTGTTTGCTTCCTAAATTCTTGTTGTGTGTCGTGGTCGTGGCTAAATAAATGGTTTTTCTTTCTTTCTTTCTGTGAGAGCGCCAATGCGCAATGCTCCTAAAATGGTAAAAGGTGTATGAAAATACATAGGTAGTGGAAGTAGGGGACACATATTTTACAAGGAACCAAATAATGAAAAGTACATACAACATTTTTTGGGTTTTAATAATTTTTTTGTCATAACTCATAATCCTGTTAATCCTGCTAATCCTATTAGTCTTACTTCCTACTACTCATTATTATTATTATAAATGCGAAAGTTTGTGAGGATACACATAATTATGTACTGTGTATTATGTAGGTATGTATGTCTGTTACACTCACGAAAAAATTACGATAAAAATTGATAGGTACAGAGGCATATAATATAACAAATGGCGGTGGCAGCAACGACTGTCGCAACCGCGGGCTGGGCTCGCTGCCATTGCAGCGGTAGCTTCCTCCTTTGAAGAGTGGCTTGAGACACGTTATGGCGTCCTCACCTTCCGCCTGACGCAGATGCTTACCGGAAATGGGAGCTTTGGAAGGTACCTGTGTCTGATAAAGCACAATCAGGAGGAAACGTCCGGGAGTTATCACTGTGAGGACCGCCCTGAGGACACGGTGGAACACACGGTGGGGGCATGCCCTGCATGTGAGCACCACCTTGCCTTAGGGATGTGATCGGCGACGGCGACCTCTCGCGTCCGGCCCAAGTTCGGGCCATGATGCGAAGCTAGGAGAACTAGAATGCCGTCTCCTCCTTTTGCAAAGCAGTCATGCTAGCTAAGGAGGGGGCGGGCCGCGTGAGGCAGCGACGCGGTGCCTCCTCACAACCCAGCCGTAGTGAAGCACACTCCGGGCGTTGGGGATCGCGAGACGATCTCCGGCCACCGTAAGCATCTCAAAGAACCATCAGATGACCATAGATGGGGCCCAACAGGGCTGATGCGGATACGGAGTCGCGGAGAAAGTAAGAGGTTACCGGGGCTTTGGCTCGAACGGCAAGAGTAGGAACAGGGTGGTTTTTAGTCAGTAAGAGTCTGACACTCCCTCCCGCCTCAGTACTGAGCAGTGTCTCGAGTTTGATTCCCGAGACAGAAGACTGGGTCGGTTTGCGGTTTTTCCAAAAATTAAACAGTTGCATTTCTGCCTCTCGGTAAATAAAAAACGTGGCGTTATATTATACCACTTTTACTTTTCAAACATGTTTTATAATACACCGGCTCACCTACAAGATATCTTATGATCATCTAATTATATATATATTGTGAAACTTTGTAGTTTTAGTTGTGATCACTTTTAGTTACTGATAACTACTCGTTACAATTGTTGACTATTTAACTGTCGTGGACCTCGGGTGACTGCGATCATTGATGGAAGCAGCAAGGGAACACAGGCCGGCTCGGATTATAATGTACAAATATTTATTGACATCTTATCACGTAGGTACCTATCTACAGGGTAATTTACTTTGAGATAACCTTGTGCAAAATCAATATATCATTTTAGAATAAAGATTGCCATAACGAAATTGGGAACTTGTGATTAGCGACGCTTACAACATCGTCTGCAGTGTTCGCGTGTGACAGGGCGCACGTACAGACCAGGAGCAGCGCTGCGTCGCGCGTTGATGTCTTTACTAGGGACGCTCGCGGCGTAGCCGTGGCTACGGGTGTGAAAGCTGTCGAGAAGCTGCTGCAGCCGACGGCGGCGCACTAGGATTTTCTCCTATGTGTGTCACGATATTGTACAAAATGAAACATTCCGGGGGCGACAGGTCGAGAGCTCCGGACAGTGGAGTATGTGTGGAGGGCTGGCAGAGGAGGTCGGGAGTAGTTGCCAGTCGCCTCCGTGAGGCGCTCGTAGTAAACACGTTCAGGTGAATATTAATAAGTGTGTGGTCAGCCCGAGCCGAGGGCCAGGACGGGGCGTGGGCGGGGCGCGGGGGCGCTGCCACAACTCGTTCCGAACTAGTAGGAATTCCGCGTGAGAGTGTTATGCGGAGACGAGTGCGACATACCACGCGCAGTGCCACGGGGCTCAGTATAGTCAGTCGAGGCTCTGCCTGACTGCTTCTACATGTAATGCTTCATTAGCACTTCGAGGAGAGTGACGTCACGTGCCTATCATACTCATCGAGTGTTGTTCCGGTTCCTGTTCTGCTCTCGAAGGCAACAAGAGAGCTCGTTACCCACATACAGCCGGCCGTGCGTGTGTGTGAGTGTATACCTACAGCTGGCAGTCGGCGCGCGGGCCGCGCATACTTTAAGGCTTACGTAATCAAATGTTTTTGTTCGTAAGTAAATCTTCAAGTCGAGCCAATGCCGCATTCCGTAGTATACTCAATCAGTTATTTATTTCACACAGACCTCGCGGTCTCCAACTACTGCGCTCTATGTTCCGTCCTTGCGTCTGAGTTTCATGTTGTCGAGTGGACTGTAGTCCAAGTACTGCGCCACTACTCTTCAAATATGATTAATAAGCAAAATATGAACAACACCCGCTCCGTGTCATCTCCGGAATGTCGCCTGGCGTCGGCCAGTGGTCGCTCGCTACGTGTGATACAGTGCTAGTCGTCACCGCGGCCGTCTAACCGTCATCATCATTTAACCATCAGTTAAATTCGCAACACACACATATACACACATACTGGTGTAGTTGTGAGCACCGAGCAACTGTAAACTGAATGAGACTGGCTGCCGTACAATACATGAATATATGTATACATACAAACAAACTCACGAGCTGACTCCGACGTGCCCACTCTGTGCACGGTGGTTGGATCCAAGTTACTGGGTAAAGTTACATCTCTAGATCGCGTGGGTCATTGCAGCCAACCTCGTCGTCACGTCGCCTACCTAACACATTGAATTATGTACTGTATAATAGTGCGTTCTTGTGAGTTCTGTAGGTCACGAGCGACGAGGCGTGGCGTCACGTGCTTCCGGAAACACAGCGTGACACCGTGAGTACCGTGCAGCGTGACCCGCGTGACCAGTGGTGGGCAGTGGCGGTCGCCGCGCCTTGTCTAGTTGTATCACTGGCACATTACTGCTGTGTGGCACTCTCACCGCCGCCGCCTAATTGTAAAGAGAAAGCTAATACATTCGGGGACGGCCGCAGTGAGCAGTGAGCACGTGCGAGCGTGTGACGTCACGCGGGACCACGGCCCGCACTGTCGGTACTGCACGGTGCCGCGGTGGAGGGAACAATATGTGGCGTGTGTGACATCAGACGATTTACCGGAACATTTGTTAAATGCGCCGTTCATTACACATTCGTGCAGCGATAGCATGCTATCTGATCACAAAGTACATGTACATACGGACACACGATGTGTTATGTTTGACAGGATGACGCGACGAGCAGCCAGTGCAGGGAACTGCGATAACAGTGCAGTGGCCTGGAGTGCGCTGCAGCACCTCGGGATCGTCTCCACTTGTTCCAACAACGTAAGGAACCCTCAGGAACTTGGACTCTAGATATTGAACTCAAATCAATACTAACACTGAGACAGATCCAATCAATGATACAAGCAAAATGAATTAATATTGTTACAACGTACATACGTTAACATAGTAGTTACTGTGTGGTACGTGGTGGAACACATTGTATCAATCTGGGAGAGGAATGTTTCTGAATGTTGCTATTGTTACGGAAAGTTAACTTTTACACAACAATAACAACAGGCCGGCTGACGGCTGGCACCATCCAACGCTCAGCTGATGCCCAGCGACCTGGTCATGTCAAGCCACATCTACTTGTACGTATGTAAAGTATGTAATTTGTTGTGTCTTATCTTATCCATACAAAATGTGTCAGTTACCGACAGCAACGTAAACATTCCCTAATAATGAAAAACATGGAACAATAATAATACGTAAATAATGAATTTATAATTTCGTGCGTATCGTGAGGATTGTTCCTGGAGTGTTTGGCAGTGAATAGTATCATATCGAGCGTGACAGAGCACGCGACGAGGCGCTCAGCACACAGCTCACCGACACCTGGACGAGTGCACCTCAATGCAATACTCGACCGCTCTATTATACTCACACTCACACACACATGTATTATATCTGTGCGCGTTATCAGTACAGTGAAGTATGACCTACTTCTGCCAGTAATAAAGTGTAAGACGAGTACTTGTTACTTCTGTGGACCACATTACAAGTTATACGAGAGCTCGAGTAACAGTTGTGTGCAGTTGTTCGGCTGGTCCCAAACAACTAGTTCACTAACTAGTGAGACGCTCCTCACTAGTTCACTACCGGCATAGCTATCGTGAGACGTGAACTTTTGTTAACCTTACTGAATGTAGTTTGCGTTTTAATTTTTTGTTCTCTCCATCGACTCAGGTCGAGTATACGGGTGTACTCAACATGACCCTAGTGTTGATCTGACGCGCTCGAGTAACTATCGAAATCCCTTTCTATTATTTACAATTTGTATTTATGTTACAATCACCGCAATAAAAATGTATGTCTTTTAATAAATAATTAATTTCAGCAAGGGAACAATATAATCTGTATCAGTGGGTATTGATTACTTATACACGTCATTATTACTACTTCTGTGAATTGTTGAATGTACATCTATATTTGTACATGAAGTATATATTTCAATGGAGTTATTATGTTGCGTTAATGACTGCTGGCCATGTGGGGAGCTGTGGTAATAGTATGCAGTGCATGGAATGTAGGGGCTGGACGTGCAAACACACAGGAAGTCTACAGAGAGACCGACACAGGTAACTGTAGCGTCTCCTTGTATAGCCAGCCCTCGCTTCCTGTGGACACTGCAGCTCGTCTCCAGTTGTTATCAGCGCCGCGCCGGGGCCCGAGCGGCCGCGGAGCAACGACCGCACACCGCCAGATGCTCCCGCGTAGCGCCATCTATCGGGTACTCTCGACACCACAATCCAACAATCGTTCACATTGTTTAGCTTATAATGTTCCTCTTCCTGATCGCGGGACTGTGTGAGCTCACACTCCATCCAGCTCATACTTATTCAGTGCTCCGGCTGGGGCGGAACTGTCTCGCTGTCATTACTACGCCGCGCTTGCACTCGCGGTACTTATTTGTCTACGTAGCGTCCCTATCGCAGGAATGTATAACAAGTATGAATAATATGTCGAACGCCGGATCCATTCATACGTCGAGCAAACAAACCAGCACCACATTAGCTGTACTGGTGGCGGCAGCCGACACACACACACACACACACACACCGACGGCTGCGGGAAAGCGACTCGGCCTCGTTCCCGAGCTACGTGCGCGGGCGCCGGTCGTGACGTGTCGCGAGCACCTTAGCGGCCCGCGACTCCTATGTCGGGGGGTGGCACGCACCCGGTGACAGCCGGTACTCACCTTAGTCTGCGGCACTCGGAATCAGACACAGTTAACAAACAACGTGAGTCCGTGCTTATCACTCGCGGCGGTACTTGGCGACTCAGCGGCGATTCGGTGTGTACTGGAGAGTGCGGCGCTGCGGGGGCGCGGGGTACTGAGAGCCTTCGTGGAGGCAGCGCGGGGAGCGCGCGGTGCGGGCGCCAGTCTGTGCCTGGGCGCGACGCGATCCGCGCGTCGTTCGAATTGTGAAACATGTCCGCGAACGGGTCGGCGGCTACAGAGCCGCGGCTCTGCCACGTGCGGAAGACGCCCGACTTTGACGGCTATGGATTTAACCTACACGCCGAGAAGGGCAAGCCCGGCCAGTTCATAGGCAAGGTGGACGAAGGCTCCCCGGCGGAGCACGCGGGCCTAAAGCGGGGCGACCGCATCCTTGAGGTGAACGGGCACAGTATCGCTGGCGAGAGCCACAAGCAGGTGGTGGCTCGCATCAAGGAGCGCCCCGAGGACGCCGAGCTGCTGGTGGTGGCGCCTGCGCCGGGCGATCCGGTGCCGGACCTGGACGCGCCTGCGCCCGAGGCGCCCGAGGCCGCGGCCACAGACAGCGCGCAGCCTACCGAGCCTCCGCGGCTCAACCTGCAGATGACGGCGGCGGAGATGCGCGCGCACCTCGCTGCCAAGAAGAAGTTTGACCCTAAGAAAGTGCCCATGGACCTCAAGTCCAAGTTTGACATCGTCAAGAAACTGTGATGTGTGTGTTGTGAGGTCGCGTGCCGGTGTTGTGGTGCAGTGCGGAGGGCGCGGCGCCGCTGCCGCTCCGCGGCGCGCTGTTGCCAGCCCGCGCCGAGCGAGCGCATGAATTGGAACAATGACATCGATGGCGACGCAAGCGCAGGTTGTTCGTGCACCGGCCACCACCCCGTGTTGTACAATTAATGTAAATTTGTTTTACCACGTAAATTATGTTATATAATTTATAGCGTTCTATAAAAATTGCCATTGAATTGAATAAAGTGTTGTTGTATATATTTACTAGCCTAGTTGCTTAGCCGCTATACATACGTTTATAGTACATAGGGATGAACCACTGTGTGTAATTTATTTTATGAATTCAAATTTACTTTGATTTTTAGTAATTGATTATCTAAATGTGTAGCTAGAGTTACTCACGTACTCGAGTGTGAATATTGTTTAATTTTATTATCAATAAAATGAATTGAAAGCAAGCCGATGTCTCATCCTGCCTCAGTGTCAGCCGCTGTACGTATGACGGCGTGTGACGCTGTGGCGCCGCCTCCCACAGTACTCCTCGCGCTCGGGCTGCTCACTGCTCATTATTTGCTCATTGTACATTCCGTGTGAAGCGATCAAACAAATCGCAGAGGTCCTATTTAAATAGCTGGCGACTGGTCACTGCCAGGTACCTACATACATACTACATACATACTTGTGTGTTTACTCACCTCGTTATTTACAATGTGCTAGAATATTACGTGCGCGCTTCGCAATGTTCCGACTATTATATTTTATTTCAGCATGTTATTGCTCTTTACACTCCTGCCCAAAGAGATAAGTGAGCAGAAGAGATATCTCAGAAGACAACTATTCATGTAGTTTCCGTACGCGCGATGATAATTATGATTGATACAAATAAGCTTAAATTGTGTTCATTGATTCAATTTACAAAGCAGTGATGAATGCCTAAGTCAAGGTTGTTGCCGTTTCCCTCAGTCCAGTAATACTTAGTAGGCAGTTACAGTGCTGAGCACAGAGTGTCGCCAGGCTGCTGTGACCCGTCCGATGATGTGGACTTTGTGGACCAGCGAGCACCGAGCCACGGCTACAGGTGCTACAGGTGCTACAGGTGCTACAGGTGACTATACCGTGTGACTGTATGTAAGTACAGTGCCGCACTCGCGCTGACGTGTACTACATTATCTTATCTGTGGCCACGAATTAGTTCGCATTAGAATTACCTGACTGACACTGGCAGCCCGCGCCCGGGCCCCGGGGCCGGTCGTCGCACCACTAACTCGTTCTTGACATATCTAGTATTACTTTATAACATTTAGTACATGACTGTGAGATCTTGGGTTCGACACCCAGATTGGAAAAATTGTTGCAATGGATTTACAGTAATGCTGCCAGTCTCCTGGGAATGTTCCCCTGTGATAGTGATGCGGACGAATACTTTGACGCCTAAATTGAGGGGTTTTGTTGCTTTCCCTTTCTTTTTCTTTTTTAACTTAAGTTTTATTTAATAGTTTACTTGTAGTTAATTTTAAGTTTTAAATATTTATGTAGTTATAAACAATGTAATATAATAGATTTTTGCAATAAATTATATTCGTTATGACTCTAACATAACTTAATCGAGTCCTGGAGATCACACACAATTATGCCTCGGAAGATTATGGCCATATTATATCGGGCACTGGTAATATAGTTAGTAAGTAATAGTCTGACGGCAACTGAACCAAGGTCCATTTGCTTGGTAGTGAGTAGTGCTTGCCGCCGCTCGACCAATGACACTATAAACATAATAATATAACATTACGGCTATTAGAAGCGGCGAGGGCGACACGGCATATTGTGTGCTATTGTTCTCCCGCACAATGCTGCGTGACCTCAGCAGCCCCACCAGCCTGCAGCCCGCACTGCGTCGCGTCCCGCCGGCAGCCGGCGCCCGGTGCAATAGTCGCCGCAGTACCCACGAGTACCTTCATTGTCCTAGGCTGTAGACACCAGTATGAAGCTATGCCAAGATTCAAACATTCTCTTTGCGGACGAGTGGTTCACGAATACACAGCAACGCAGCTGCACATGGAGACAGCTGGAGAATATAAAGTTCGAGTCTGAAACGTAGTCATCGTGAACCGAAAGATAATCATTTAATATCGATATCATATAAGTAGGTACTTTAAACTGTTTTCAGCGTGAAGGCACAGAGCGGTCCAACTTGCCTTTCCACCGTCCCCTGCGCGCAGGGGTTGGAAGTAGCCTATGTGTTATTCCCGACCATGATCTACCTCTGTTCCAAATTTCATCCCAGTCCTTGCAGCCGTTTTGATGTCACCGAGGTGTGAACTTAGTAACAAAAATACGTACAAACTCATACATTTGCCACTTGGTTCTAATATACTTAGCGGTTCAAACTAATTACGACCATCGGCCCTATACAGTTACAGCGTAAGGTCCACTGCGGGCAACCTAACATTCGACCAACTTATATTTGCGTTTGGTACAGTAACTGTGTCTAGGGATCGAGCCGCACAGTTTAAGTATATTTTTAGTTTATATCCTTTTTAGGATAGAATGTACTCCTTGTGATGCCCAGGATATTAAACTAGAACCATACCAAGCTTCATCGCAAACAAATCAATAGTTTAGCGTGATGGAGTAACTTCTCCCGTTTTCCCAAAATTTCCCTTCCGTGCTCTGCTCCTATTGATTGTAGCGTGATGAAAAATATACTATAACCAGCTTAGGAGTATGAATTATAATACTGTATCATGCTGCGTTAAAATCCATCGAGTAGTTCTTGTTTATATAATTGTTATATACAGACACATAGACAAAAAATTAACTGATTGTATTTTTAGCGTCAGTGCCGATCCTTAATCACACTCTGATAGTTATTTTGGAAATATATTTCACATCAAAGTCAATCATTTCTTTCAAGTAGACCAGAAAGCCACTTTTGAACTTCAAAAAGAATTAAAAGTGAAGCTATTTGCTCATTCCAAAAAACTCCATGGTACTCTTTTTCAATCATGTTCACAATATAATTCTCTAGTTACATAGTTTGGTTGTTTGGATTGTGTGAGAACAATGTAACATTAAAATACAGTCAAAAAGATCGAAACAAAAAATAAGCCTAACCACTCAAACGCCCGGGCAACTAGAGTAGACAGTAAATAATACAGTCTGGAACTGACCAGTCCCAGTTGACGGCGCCCGATCACCATTATGACACGTTCAGCAAATTACCAGCGTAAGGCCCCGTCTTAATGTTAATCTTAGTCTTAGATCTTTAAAACTGCGCAACGGATTTTGATGCGGTTTTATTTGCTTTTATTAGATAGAGTGATTCTTAAGGAAGGTTTATATGTATAATACATGCATAATATAGTAGAGAAACACTGATAAATTTAGAGGTTTCTAATGTGATTTCGTAAATTATATAAGCATTGCACGCGTGCGAAGTCAGGGCGGGTCGCTAGTTAATAATAATATTTAGTTCCATATATTTATTTAACATTTAGTTAATTAATAATAATATTTGGTCTATTAATAGTTAATTTAATATTTAGTCAACCAATCATAGCAAATTAAATAACAAACCAAGTCTCCAATATAAAAGTATTCCAATAGAGGAAATACATGAGACCAAATTTCTGGGCCTTGTGCTAGACAAGAACTGTAAATGGAAACCACACACGGGTGTTGTGCTCTAAAATAAATAAGGTTGTGTATGCACACAGAAAATTTGTCTGACACTGGCTGCGTATCATGGTTACATATCATAAGATACGGGTTACTTATCCGGGGTAACTCTTCGTTCGCAAAGAGAGTGAAATAGCACGAATACATTTAATTGCTCAAAAAATTTATTCGTGCTATTTGTGGCGTGGGACCGGTGGAATCATGTAGAGCATTATTTAAAAAAGATTGTTAACATTAACCTCACTGTACTATTGGAAATAGCAATATTTGTAAAGTAACATCCCGGACTTTATAATAAGATAATAAGATCATAAGAATTCCTCCAGAGATCCAACGCGACTTGCTGTAATAAGATGTAGAAACACACTATGCCAAAAAATCAAAATTATAACATCAATAAAAATATTTAACAAAGTACCTAAAAATATAGGAGAATTACCATTAAATAAATTTGAGATAACATTAAATAAACTTCTAATTAAAAATAGCACTGGGGATGCTTCTGACATAAATAACTATAGGCCAATATCGTTGGCTACAGTAATTGCGAAGGTGTTGGACGGTGTGCTGGATAAACAGTTGAATAAACATCTGTCGCTTCACGACGCTCAGTTTGAATTCAGAGCTTGTCTGTCCACTGAACACGCTGTTCTTTGTCTCAAGCACACTGTTCGATACTACACGGATAGAAAGACTCCTGTGTATGCCTGTTTTCTGGATTTATCGAGGGCCTTCGACCTGGTGTCCTATGATGTTTTATGGAAGAAGCTGTATGATGAGACGACGGTTCCGGGTGAGGTTATTGAGTTGTTCAAGTTTTGGTATGGCCATCAAACCAATATGGTGAGGTGGGCGGGTTCGCTATCGGATCCGTATGGACTGGAGTGTGGGGTGAGGCAGGGCGGCCTGACTTCGCCGAAGCTCTTCTGTCTATATGTGGATGGGCTGGTTCGTGAGCTCTGCAGCACTATTGTAGGTTGTTCAATCAACGGAACACTTGTCAACAACATTAGTTATGCTGATGATATGGTGCTTCTGGCCCCATCGATCAGCGCCCTCAGGACGCTGTTGTCGGTGTGTGAGCGATATGCCGAGGCCCAGGGTCTTAGATATAATGCAAGGAAGAGCGAGTGTCTACTCTTCAGGGCAGGTACTAAAACTTATGATATACCACCCGTTGCACTTGCGGGGACTGCTTTGGAATGGGTCACTTCTTTCAAGTATCTGGGGTCTGGGGCACTGGGTCACTGACACACAGACTGATAGTAAAGACATGGAGAGGGAACGTAGGGCGCTGTCAGTCAGGAGCAATATGTTGATCCGCAGGTTTGCAAAGTGTTCTCATGATGGGAAGGCTACACTTTTCAGGGCATATTGTCAATCTTTTTATACCTGCAGCCTATGGGTCGACTACACGCAGAGGGCTTACAGCGCCTTGCGAGTCCAATATAATAACGCGTACAGGGCACTGTTGGGGCTGCCTCGACACTGTAGCGCATCGGGGATGTTCGCTGATGCACGCATAGATGATTTCTACGCAATCATAAGAAAGCGTGTCGCCTCCCTGATGCAGCGGGTGCGGGGCAGCGCCAACAGTCTTCTGATGACCGTGGCGGATAGGACTGATGGCCTTATGCTAAAACACTGGACGAAGACGCAAGTGTTGCCTACAAACCGTGCCCAGAAGTAGTGAAAGTCAGCAGTATTGTTACTATATTATCATTATATTAC